TTAAAAAATAAATTAAGTTTTAATGGTAATCCTTAGGTTATTTCAATTAATCGAGAAATAAACTTGTTGGAAATCATACAGTTGTAGAAAAAATTCGTCATCTTACTTAGAGAGAGAGAACTTAGGAAGCTGATTCTAAGATTTTTGCTAAAATTGATCGCATTTTAGGGAGAATCGTGTGTTTTTTTTTGGAGAGCTGGTGAGTAAGAAAACGAATAAAATGCTGGAACTTCACTGAGGAAAAACGAAAATTTCTCAAGATTGAAAGACGATCCTCCTGATCTTAGCTATTATAAATGCTAGAAGTCTGAAAATTTATGTGAACATACTATGTGAAGAGTGTAGATTAGTATTAAAACTCTATTTCGTTTTCTTAAGAATGATGAGAATTATTATGAAGAGCATCTTTTCGTTGTATTGAACTTTTAAATTTGATAAAAGATTGTCCATGAAATTTTTTCACTGCATCTTGATAAACGTGTGAAACACAATGTAAAAAGAGTATTAAAGGTAAAAACTTGAATCTACTATACAGACCATATATCAAGCAAATCTCGTTACTACTTCCTTATTACATTTCTAAAATAATTCATTAAAAGCATGATGAAGAAATGCGTTCTGAATCAATTGAAATAAAACAATCTTCCTGTAATTAGCAAGAGTAGTTACATCATATTTTACATTTTAATCTTGCAAAGATTACGCTAACATCTTTTTGCATAAGTTCAATTTAACATGTTCTGTTACTAAAAATATGAGTAAATAATAGTGCGTGTGTGTGTGTGTGTGTGGATGTCTCTGACAACTTTGATGATTAGTACTGTTCAAGTATAGGAAATGTTTTTCTAAGAGTTTGAACTTGATCTATTACGGAGCTCTGATCTCTCAGCGCAAAAATAGTCATAGGAAAATGCTTATAGTTCTAGAACAAATTTATATGATGTTCCATAAAATTAGTTGTGTATATATAGCTAAAATATAACACTGGATAATGAACTTTTGATGGACTTAGACAATTCTTGTTTTCGAGAGTTACATAGATTATAACAGCAATAGATGTTGTTCATCATCATCCATATCTACGCTTTTGAGAACTATTCTATTTTCAATAGTGAATGAATTTATTTTTTAAATTTCATAATCATTTTATTTTGTAAGAATATTGAAATAATGGAATAAAAGAATTTAATAGTATCTCTAAAAAGTGAACATTATAAATTTTTTAAAATGTACTCGTGTCATCTTTTCTTTTGTGTTTTTTCTATTTCAATAAAATTAGATCGGATGTTGCATTAATCTATAATGATCGTGCTGTACTTGAAAATCATCATGTAAGTGCTGCATTTCGATTAATGCGAATAGATGATTATAATATATTATCTGAATTTTCATCGGATGAATATAAGTAAGTATAATTAAAATTTAAAAAAAAACAACATTTAATAACGAGTGATACGAAAGTTTTCAGACAAGTCGATAGTTATGATTTTATGTTCTTTTCGAATCTCATAACTTTGAAATCGAGCAGCAATGGTACGAATCTATTTAGGTGTTTTATACATATATAATTAACCTTAGTCACCAACAAAATGTGAGCTGAAACCATGTGAATCAGTTGGGATTGTTCTCTCGTTAGTCAAATCCAAATAATTTTAGGGTTTCTATTAGAACACAATGTAGTATCTATAGATAAAAACAATCATCGAAATCGAATTCTATCTAAACTAAATCTTTAGACTTTTCAAAGATTATTTTACTAAAATTGAGACAAAATTACTTTCAAGCAGGGATAAAAAAAAATGAACAAACATCTTGCCTGAAAACTTTCCGATCACGCATTTGTTTTTTCTATATAAATGAAAGGAAAAAAAGAAAATGAATTTTTTTTTTTTTCATTTAAAGAAATTTTCGACATTTGGTTATTGAAATGGTACTTGCTACTGATATGAGTTCTCATTTTACACAATTAAAAACAATGAAAAGTCTTTTAAGTATGCCAGAAAAGTAAGTATAATTATTTTTTATTAAAAATTTTTTTATTTTTATAAATTTTAGTATTGAAAAATCTAAAGCATTAGCACTTGTACTTCATAGTGCTGATATAAGTCATCCAGGAAAACCATGGACTATGCATCATTCATGGACAGAATTATTAATGGAAGAATATTTTAAACAAGGTGAAAAAGAAAAAGAACTTGGTCTACCTTGTTCACCTTTATGTGATCGAGATAATACACTTATTGCTGAATCTCAAATTGGTATAAATAGATGAATAAAATAATATTTATTTATAATACAAATTTTTTTTGTTTTTAGGTTTTATTCAATATATAGTTGAACCTTCATTTGTTGTTATGGGTGATATGCTTGAAAAGATTCTTAAATCATTATCTGTTCCCGATTCTGAACTTCCATCACCATCGATACATGCTAAAAGTGTTGTTTCATCACCTTCACCACCACCATCACCAAAATCATCGAATGGTTCTAATACTCAACATGATGAGCAATTAGAAAATGGGTAATAAATAAAATAATTCATTTTTTTTGTTTTTTGTTTATTTTAATATGAATAAATAGACGTGAAAGAAAACCATCATCAATGACAACACCTATATCTCGACCAACAACCGTTCGACGACCATGGATTGAATATCTTAAAGAAAATCGTGAACGATGGATAAGAGAAGCAGGTTAATAGAAAATAAAAATTTATTTTGAGAAAAAAAAAATCATCAATTAACTATGTTCCTTTTTTTGACATTTACAGAAGAAGAAAAACGTCGAAGAGAATTAAAAGTTATTGAAGAAGAACCATAATCAACTTCATCTTATAACATTCCATATTGACATAAAAACATTTATTTATGCTATGCAAATTTACAGTATGATCATCGAAAGAATGTACTTGTAAGAGGGTACTTTTCGTTTTTTTCTTGTATCTATCAATAAAATTCTTCTTTCTAATGAATTTTGTGTCTTTTATGGAAATAAATATGGTTTAATAAAGCTTCAACGTTGGACT